CAGGGACCTTGTCATTCATCGCGTCATCAGCCATGATGCCCATGCCTCTGTAACGGGCGACCAGTGCGTTGTACTCCCAACGTTCATATCTGTAAAGGTGGAAGAAATCTTCGCTGTGCGGTGAGGGGGTATCTTGTTACGGTCCCTTGACAAGCTTGAACCAAATTGGTGTGAAGACTTCATCCCACACCTGTTGGAATGGCGACTTCTCACGCTTCACTTGATACCTGATCCGTGAGTGACACGGGAGAACCTCAGATATGCTCACCAGGGGACGGAGCCTTCTATACTCTTGTTGTAGTTGCAGACGACTCGGGCGAAGGCACGATGGAAAGACATGTTGACCTCAAACACTGTATATCAGGGTGGGAAAATACGCAATGAGGGAATTACTAGGGTGGGCACTTCTACCCGAATTCGTATGCAAATTTCTATAATCAGCGAGGAAACTCCCGAGCTCAGGTGAGGAATGCGAAAATATATTCCGACACTGATAATTGCATTGAGAAGTGGTAAGATATCCTAAGGTTGACTACATAAGATGCAAAAAAGGTACCCCGGAATAAGAAGGAATGGAGAGTTTGGTATCTTGAGGTTGAGCACGCAAGATACAGAACAGGTCTGACTCTTGCCAAATCGATTAGAATGGCGCGCGACTAATTAAACGCAGTGTGCGTTTGACGCCAGACAGTGTCAATTACATTCCTCATTATTAACAATCAAACGCCTGCTGATCCCCAACCAGTAGAAGGTGCCGCGAAGGTAACTTCTCAATTTGCGGTTTTTCTATCAGTTTTTGTCGGCACTCGCGGGAGTGCATTGCTACTGTGAGATGATGTTGAAAATATACTTATGGTCAACTGTGTGTGTTGGTGAGAATTTAGAGAAATTCCTGTTGGTTTGTGTAAATTTCTACCCGAATTCATATGTGAACTCTTGAGCTCAGCTGAGGAAAGTGAGCATATATATTCCTCCAGCTGTGGTCGTGCGTCAGTTCATCGTCTTTTCTCAGCCGTCCGTCTTGGGTCGCGTGCAGAAGAAAATACGATTCGCGTTGAGCACGGATGAGGTAGTCTACGCCCCCGAAGACTTTCCGATGCCACTTGAGGTTGAAGACCAGCGCCAGATGAAAACAAGGTGAGTAAACTGTTGAGTTTACTTTGTGTACGTGAAGTGGCGCTATATGAAGTGAATTGAAAGTTTCAATTTGTTTTCAATTTGAAAACACTTCGAGAATTTCACCGGACGATTTTCTTTATACCAACGTATTTTTTGCGAAGTGAAATATGTTCCTCACTAGCGTTTTCCATATCACTAGGGTGAAACTCCTCTGATTACGTGATTTGAGATTTCAAAATGAGTTCACGATAAGAGAAAGTCGAACATCATTTCAGATCATTCGCACTGGTGTGCTGCAATGCGCTCATAACGACTAACCTCGCGACACCGTATGCCTTCTCTCGAGTGGGATGGTTCAGTCTGATATTGGCGCTACTCATCATCGGGTTGATTGGTGGAGCGGTGAAGCTGCAGGCGGGTTTGCTGCAGTGTGAAGTTGTAGTAAAAGTGGAGGCGGAGGTTCGATCCCTGCATGC